TTTGGAAAATTGGTGAAATTCACCCTTTTAAGCTCTTCAGCCGTCTGATTCCTATCACGACCACTGTGAACAATTCTGAGTTGTTAAGTTTCTTTAGAATGGAGCATTTCACACCAAACCACTCTGAACGACTTTGTATATCTTAACGACTTAAATATAGAGAAACTGTTGGGATTCTCCTTCAACAGGTCTGGACGACACTTAGTTGTCTCTTAGGCATAAAGTACTCAAATCCCTCCAAATGGTTTTTGATGTGGCCTTCCGACTTCCTGCCTATGCTCCCTCACCGATTTACTGGATTTGACAAACAGCTGGGTGGTGATTATAGCTCGTGTGGAAGCTATGAAGCTTTAGCCACCACTGCTAACTCCCATTAGCGCCAACATCATATAGCAAATGTGACAAGGCCTGCACGACCGCTGTCCTAGCTGTCACAAAACAGCACCTATCTCAGGCTATTGGAGCGAAAGCGACATAGCAGAGAGTTCGAGCAGAACAGAAGCCGTCCTTTCCCTAGAGACCACTGCACCCTCACATCCAGGAGCGCACACTTCAGACTCGCTCCAGCTGAAAACCACTCCAAATATGTTTTCGCTTGCTTGGGTAAGAGAAAGTATTCTAAAAACTCGCTCTTCTGAGAAGTTTTCATATTTCTGTTTGCTTCTGGTCAGTCGTGTTGCACTTGTTTGGGTTTGCACATTCCAACTACACAAACAAGCGTGTTTAGCCTTTCAGACCTAAAGGCGCAGTGCACTAAATTTCAAGGAGCCTGTAGCTCATTTGATTCCACTCAAACAAACACTGTTGTTTGTGTTTTACTGCTCAGCCAGAAATCTGGGGCTAATTAACGTAGGTGCGCCCCTTTTGTACATCTGCACTGCACGTACCGGTTATAATCTCGGATTTCACATGACAAGGGGAATACAAACAAGACTGAACACTACAGTTCAAGTAATACGACTCTGAACAATCATCAATTTTGTCTCGCAATTTTGTGCCGAACTGTAAAAGGACGTTAGTGGCTTGGCCTGGTTCATCTCCCACAAGTCAGCTTCCCATTCAGTGAAAAATGTTTTAACGCTTTAATCCTTTGCCTGTTTTGGAGGTCACTCAGTTGAACTATTTGGGACCTCTGTTTGACGGAGGTTGACCGAATGTATTTAAATGGAAATGTGCACAATTTACAAAACTTTTTTTGATTTTCATCTTCCTAGGCGAGTCAGCAAGTCAACATTTTTTATTGTGTCGGTTCTACAGGATTATTTGATATAAAAGAAGCTGCAGTTGTGCTGTCCAATTAACCTCTGCATGTTGATCTTTGTGCATGTTCTTTCACTCCTCGTTGCTCAATAGCAGCTCAACATTCACATAGAGAGTCAACAGGGCCCTAGTTAATCAGAGTCATGGTGAAAACTGTTTTATTTCTTTATATTAGTTAAAAACATCCAAGCTGATTTTCATTTCACCACTGGGGGGTTGCAGTAAAAGGTTAAAAGGTACGAAGGTGATGAAGATAATTATCAGCTATATTTTACAAATACTGATAAAATTTTTAGTCAATGATTTGCGTGATGATGCCTATTGTGAAAAACAATAGTGGAGACATGAAAATATAATTCAATTAAGATTTTTCTCCCATTCAAGCAAGCTAAAGTTATTTGTTATTTGATAAAGCAAAACTAATGAAACATCAAGAAATTATGTCATTGTTTCGTAAGTCTATTTGCTGGGTGCCAGCTGACCAAAGTGGTCCCATCTGCCAAGCAGGTCCGCCCTGACATCATCCAATCTAAGTTACATCATTATGTACTGCTTAGCAACTGCAATAATAGGCTTCCAGTGTAACGCTGGTTTATGATTTATTTCACAGAGTGAAGCTACTAAGCTAGCTGTTTAGCTTTTTGCATTTAGTGAAAGTACTCCAGTAAGAGCCCCTCATTAGAGCCCCTCAATTTTATCTTGTTGTGATGACAGACAATACAGAACATCTGAACTACAAGAAATTTGCCTGTGACAAGCCGAAAATGAGTGGAGCAGATCTTTATGGGTGGAAAGTTTAACACCACATCACACTTCATACTAAACATGTAGACCAGAGATCACTAATAGGTGGACCGCAGTCCGAGTCCTGACCCAGACGCTGTCCTATGCGGAACTGGACCTATAACTGATAAACTATGGACAATTATTTAATTTCGATGGGGTGGTCCTATTTTTATCAGCGTAACTTTTCCAGCCTTTACGGTACGGCTTTAGCGGCCTGGGAGACTCACAGACCAAATGCATGTGCTGTAAATATCACACGTGACGCTACTCAGCCAATCAGATCTGTGCATTACGTTGAGCTCTGAGACTCGAGTGAGTGGAGGGACGAGGCGAGACACAGCAGTCGGAGAAGAAAGTGAATCAGAGGGAAGTTATTTCACATAGCTGCTCTAAAAAGAGAAAACTGACATTAAATATTGTTGAAATATTACTGAATTGTACTTTATTTGATTTAACATTCAGTTGTTGACTGCATAAGATGTTGATATAACTAACAGGCTACTTCAGTAAACAGTATATGGCACTGAATCATAACGCAAGTTAGACATTATGATGTTCCGGACCTTTGCTTGAGGAAACTTTCTCTAACTGGACTTTACTGAATTTTAATTCAATTTAAAAGACCCCCGATATGGACTAAGAAAACTAACACTTATTGCACTTCTTTTTAGTGGAGAAAGATATTTCATTCTTCCTACTCAGTTCATGTGAACATTAGCAACGTTTGAAATTTTTTTTTATTTTTACACTGAAGTAAACTACTCACCAAGCTATGGGGGTGAGGGGTACACCATTAAATAGGATGGTTCTTCAAGGGTTCTTTAGTAAATGATTCCATACAGAACCATGAACACTTAAAGAACATTTCGCATGGTTAAAGGGTTCTTTGCATCGTGAAACGTTCTTCAGATTGATGGACTATGTACTGTAGATGGATCTACATAGGACCTTTTTGAAAAGGCACCAAAGGAGTTCTTCTATTGTTACGAAGTCAAGCTTGTAACATTAGAAGAACCCTTTTGGTGCTATATAGAACCCTTTTCAAAAAGATTCTATATAGAACCATATACAGCACATTCTTCATGAATCTGAAGAACACTTTCATGATGCAAAGAACCCTTTCATCATGCGAAAGGTTCTTTGAGTGTTCATGGTTGTATATAGAGCCATTTTCTTTACTAAAGAATCTTTAAGTGTATACTTTTTGTCTACTTCTCAAGGTCCAGCAAATCTAGATAACGTAGAGGATGAACATATTCCATTGAATTAAAATAAATTAAAATTCCAAATACAAGCAAACCTGTTGTACTGTACAGTGAGCTGTTTGGTTCAGTTTTACCCATCCTCTTATTTGATTGGTTATCTCATGAAAAACAACAAGCAGAGCTTAGATGCGTAAACATTTTTCAGCTTGATCCGTGAGGATCTGCTGTGGAAAAAATGCAAGCCATATCGGAAAAAAGCGGAATCTGTGTCCTGCCGTAGGATATAATGGCAATTTAAACGGAACACACTCCACTATTTGAACGCACCTTTAATCGATGTAGCCTTTAATACAGCTGAGGCAGCACACATGAAGTTTAGCTTTGCTTTGATTGTTTTTGCTGCCATAAAAGCATGCATAAAAAGTAGTGGGTTTAGTAGGGCATAATGATTTGTTGGTGGGGCACTGCCCCACGAATTGACCCCCTGACGCAGGGTCTGTATCACCATATAAAATAACAGTGGACACAAGATCTCTATTTAGCTCACAATTACCTCATCATTAGCTTGCCCAGAAGGATCCCCTTGGAAATGAATTAGCCTTGAGGCCGTCACAACCTTCATATTAAATGACGTTAGCTGGCTGGCAAGCTGTTGCTATCTGAACTGTGCTGATTCATTCCTAGTATTACTCTTGTATGCTCACTATCACTTTATAGTATGTTTACACACAAACCTCAGCAGCACTTTGAGCAAAAACCGTTTCATAGTACAGCCTTTCAGTCCATGCAGGTAATCACCTGTGTGATTTCAGCCCACGGATAAGCATCTATGACATCAGGTGGCCCAGCTTGGCAGGGCAGACCACCACAGTCACCACACCAGCAGCAAACTTCACAAACATTATTTTAACATTTTAACTCAATTTTACCACTAGCAATATGCTCAAAAAGTCAACTGAGTCTTAGCTACAGATGAACACTTTCTCGGCTGCAGAAAGCTCCTCTGCAGCTCTGCAAATGGTAGGGGGGTAACCAAAGCCCACCTCGACACGCTGTAATTTGCCTGTGACGCACTCCTGCCGCCCTCAGCCATCTTGGCATTAGCGTTCCGACAGATGTTGATCCTGTGCGCTGCATCCTCATAGTGAGGGCCTTATGCCGGACGAGGTGGATCATATTTAACCCGGCGGAGGTGGAAACAAAAGCCCCCTCTGTCTGCTCCCGCCGCTTTCCCCCGGTAGCTCCTCAGGCCCAGGAAGACGGATAGCATCTGACAGGCTAACATGAGCACGTCGCTCTCAACAAAAGGATTTCTTTTTTTCCCCTCGTTCTCTGAAAATTATAGCAAGGTAACTAATAATGCCTAATCCGAAAGAGGGAGCGCGAGCTTTTTCGGCTGCCAGGAGCGATCGCTCGGAGTGGTGAAGACAGAGGAAGATTGGGAGCAAACCTGCCTCGCTGACGGACTGCTAAATGAACGGATCATTAGGGTCCATCATGGCTCAGGTACTAAAGGAGTCCAAATTATGTTACGGCGTAATGAATGAGAGAGGCCAAAAAAAGGGTTCTAATCCGCTAAAAGCACCAGAGCACTGACAGACGGTGAGCATCAAAGGGGTGAAATAATGAGAGAAAGTGAGAGAACGAGTTGGAGAAAATAAGCAATGTCAATCAAAAACAACAGAAAGATAAGGTGGTGGGGATGGACACTGAGATAGCTGAAAAAGAGAAGCAGGTGAACAGGCATACCTGGTGACCAGCACTGCTACATCCATAGGAGGTGGGTCATCTCTACCTCCAGGGACGTGGTTGTTGCCAAGGTAACGAGCCCCTCCATACTCTTCATGCTGCCAGTGGCAGAAGCTCTCCAGGGCTTTTTCACCATGATGGCCCACCTTCAGCTTCTCCTAAAGACACCATTGGACAGCAGAACTTTTCTTCATATTGATAATATTATATGTCCTAGCATAGTACACAGATCAAGCTACCTAAAGTCACAGAATACAACTTGCTAACAGTGAATAAAAACCCACTTCAAATGACTTAAAACCCATAATGCTAACAATGCTAACCAAACTATTGCTTAACTAAGGATTAGCAATGTGAACTTGGCTGGGCAAAGCACACCTTTGAAGACAAACACTCTACACATGTAACAAATTAAAATCAGTCTTTACAAACAGTCAAACCCATAAGCATCATCCTCATGATGCTAACAATGCTAATAATACTACAGTTTGACTACGTATTATCAGTGTTAGCAAACCTGGGCAATACTTTACAAACACTTTATACAATTCACTACAACCAGCCAAACCTCAGGAGCACCACTTAGTAGGACTTTCCATGATGCTAACAATGCTAATGCTGATAATACTACTGTTAGCAAACACTGGCAAAGTACTCTGTTGATGTCTTCATAATGCTTTTTAGCCCAGTGGCTAAAAACTCTACTATACAATAGTGGATGCCATAACCCATGTGTAAAATGTCACAGAACTTGCTAACATGGCTAACAGCAAATGAAATATCTACATAAAATGAATTAAACCCATAATGCTAAAAATGCTAACAAAACTAATGCTTAACTGACTGCTAGCAATGTGAACATAGCTGGGCAAAGCACATTTTTAAAGATAAACACTCTATAAACATAACACATTAAAAACAGTCTTTACAAATAGTCAAAACCCATGAGCATCATTCCCACGATGCTAATAATGCTAATAATACTACTGTTAGACTATGTATTATCAGTCCCAGATAGCGAGCATATATCGGTCCGCTGACTTGATAAGGTCGGCTCCCCGCTAACTGTACACCACTGCTGGTCCACCCTCGGACCACCCAGACTACAGTCCTGCAAGCTCTAACTAGTTTTTAATCTCCTCAAACAGATTTTAAATGCACACAGTCTTAGACAAATATTGCAAACAACTGAGAGAGAAAAAATAATCACTAGGCCTGATATAAAATGACCGCCATTGGACTGCCAGCTTTGCCATCAGTGGGCCGACAGTGGTCCACTATCCTCTTGCTATCAGGGGTGTTAGCAAACCTGGGCAATATTTTACAAACACTCTTTACAATACACTACAACCAGCCAAACCTCAGGAGCAGCACTTCGTAGGACTTCATTTCCATGATGCTAACAATGCTAATGCTAATATTACTGTTAGCAAACACTGGCAAAGTACTTTGTTGTAGTCTTTATAATGCTTTTTAGCCCAGTGGCAGGCAGGGTGGGAAAAAAAGAACACTACTACATAGTGGACGCTGTAACCCATGTGTAAAATGTCATAGAATGCAACTTGCTAACACGGCTAAACAATGAATAAAAACCCAACTAAAATGAGTTATGAAACCCGTAGTGCTAAAAATACTAACAAAACTATTGCTTAACTAACTGTTAGCAATGTGAACGTAGCTGGGCAAAGCACTCTATATAATACACTACAACCAGCCAAACCACCACTTAGTAGGACTTTATTCCCATGATGCTAACAATGCTAATGCTAATACTACTGTTAGCAAACACTGGCAAAGTACTTTGTTGTTGTCTTTATAGTGCTTTTTAGCCCAGCGGCAGGGTGGGATTAAAAAACATTTTTACTCACATTGTGTTGTCTTTTTTTGACCCAGTGAATGTGAAGTCATACTTAGTCCAACAGTTGGAATGAACATTGCACTGATAGCTCACTGTCCATAATACATAAATGACTTTCGGACATTCATCATTAGCTGTAATCTTCGATCTTTGGAGTACCTTCATGTTGATTTTAAAGCACTCTGTGGGTCTTTCAGAGCGGAAAGCAGTAATAAAGCGCACACTGAGAAAAGCTGTGGCCAAAACCACACGCAGGCCAGGATAATAACTTCACAGGCCCGGAGGACAGGAATAAACAGGAGAAATGCAGGCTGGGTGGCTCACAGTCTTAGGAGAGATTTAGTGCGTTTAGGGGTCATGGAGGTTAAGCCTGTCAGGAGGGGTCACAGGGGTCAGACTTACCGGGCGGGAGTGGAGGAGGACCAATTTGGTGACCCGAATGTTCAGCTGCACGCCTAGACTCTGGTGTTGAAACATATTATACACCTGCAGAAAGAACAAGAGAGAGAGAGAGAGAGAGAGAGAGAGAAAGAAAGAGAGAGAGAGAGAGAGAGAACCTACATATGACTTGTTTCAGTATATTAGACATTCCAATGCAGCACATTCCAGAACATTCCTTTATTAAAGACGTTTTAAATATAGAAATAAATAAAGAAGAGACGTGAGAAGAGTAGAGAAGAAAAGAGACATGAGAAGAGAAAAGAACATAAGTAAAGAGAAGAGAAGAAGAAAAATTAAGATGAGAAGAGAAAGAGAAGCAATGATCAAAAAGAAGTGACGAGATGACGAAAAGTAAAGAGAAGAGAAGAGAAGAAAAGAGAAGAGAAGAGAAGTGAAATGAGTGCAAGTGAAAAGAAGAGAAATGAGGGCAACTGAAGAGAAGCGATAAGACTACAAAGAGATGAGAAATGATTAGAAGAGATGTGAGATGGACAGAAAAAGAACTGAGAAATGAAGATAAATGAAGAGAAATATAGCTAAAAGATGAGCAGAGAAGAGAAATGAAGCCAAAAGAAGAGAAGAGAAATGAAGCCAAAAGAAGAGCAGAGAAGAGAAATGAAGCCAAAAGAATAGAAGAGAAGAGAAGAGAAGAGAAGAGAAGAGAAGAGAAGAGAAGAAAAAAGAATGCTGTTGCTGTATGTTCTGCCACACAGCGCGGGTGTTAAGCTGTGAGCTCCACATTACAAAAAACCTTTGTGCTCCATAGATTGGATAAAAGAGAGACAGCTGTTTTGCTGACATTTATGAGGCTGTTTAAGCAGCATGGGGAGCGGACAGAATGAGGAATCAACATCTGGAAGGGAGGACCTGAAGGAGCCACTTCACATCAGCGTATTTACACCAGAAAGAGGAATATTTTCCACAGCGGTGTCCTCACTGCTCTCCAAAAAAGAGGTGGGAAAGAGCAGAGGGAGGATGAGGGAAGGTCTAAACTCAGACTAAATCACACCCTGCCTCATTCAGCCGAGACTTCTGAACAATGCCTGAGGAACAGAGGCCCGCACATCTTCATAAAGCCGGCCATTACTGAGAGGAGAATGACTCACTGTGGGAAAAAAGTCACATTTCAACACATTTGCTTTGCTTGGGAAAGAGTTTTAGAGTGAGTCACTTCAGATGATTTTTGCTCTAAAAATCACTCAGGTTGGGTAGATCGGATGTAGTTTATTTCCCATGTAGTCCAGTTAATGTTATTATGGTGAATTCAACATAATTTCCAACCTGATTAGCTACACATATTAGACTTTAGTAGCATATGTTGAAAAAATATGCCTCTAAACCAGGGGTGTCAAACTCAATGAGTAAAAGGGCCATATTAAAAAAATCTCATCAAATCTGTGGGCCAGAGAAAAAAATGATTTTATTTTATTTTTACTTAATGTTGTGCTATAACACAAACTGGCCATTGTTTATTTAAAATATGCAAAAGCTTCAACTGTAAAATACAGACAAATGTCCCCAGGAGCTCAGTCTTTTAAACCTACCTATTTGCTTGAACTAGACACCTGACATCCTTTCTTTGCGGCAAGTTAGTAAGACGTGGGCTCAGTTTCTGAGCTGCTGAGCTAATGATAAGTGTTTATATTGGTTGAACTGCAGCTGAAATGCATTTAGTGTGTTTGGTGATATGACTGGGTTGAAACTGTGTAGAATTGTGTAGAATTGAGGTGTAACCTCTGTCCAATAGATTACTGTTGGGGTAGTAGAGTCAGAGCACATTACGTTGCAGTGCATGCTGGGTACTGTAGTGCAGCGCATTGTGAAACGGGCTAATATTAATGGAAAATTAAAATACTTTTGCAGGCCAGATAGCAAAAAAGCGAAGGAGGGTGAATCCTCATCATCAAAGAAGTGAAAACATGAAGCAAAACAAAATCAGGACAAGTCACCGTCGGTTCTACTACACGCTTGGAAAGGGAGGGGGATTCAGTTGGTTGCAATCTGCAACCTCACCACTATATGCTACTTAATGTTACACACTGCACCTAATAACCCAACTCGGCTGCAGAGAGTTAAATACGGCACGGTAAATTTGAGGGTGAACTGAGTCGGATGCAACATTCTTGTTGTACTGGTTTTACTCAAAAAACGCTTTTCATGATTAAGAACCATTTCATGATGCAAAGAACTGTTTAATGTGCTGTAGATGGTTCTATATAGAACTTTTTTGAAGTGGTTCTATATAGCACCAAAAAGTGATCTTCTATTGCTACAATATTAAGCTTGTAATAACAGAAATACCCTTTTGAGTGCTGTTTAGAACCCTTTTTCAAAAAGGTTCTATATAGAACCATCTACAGAACATTCTCCATCAATCTGAAGAACCCTTTCCTTATGCAACGAACCCTTTATTTATGCAAAGAACCCTTTATTTATGCAAAGGGTTCTTTGAAGATTCATGGTTCTATATAGAACGATTTTCTTTACAAAAGAACCCTTAAAGAACCATCTTTTTTAAGTGTGCAGGTTAAGCAAAGTGAATCCAGACAAATGTGTTATTAAGAGCTTAGTTGTTTAAGAGAGGGAAAAAGAGTATCGGAATGGTATCGGCAGATACTCAAGGTTACATTATCAGCATCGGTATCAGACATGAAAAAGTGGTATCAAGCCACCCCTAAACATATATACAAACCAGGGTGCTGCACAGCAAAACAGAGTAGATAACTGGCATGGCTGAAGTCAGTGATGAGACTGTTGGGTGCAGCCATGCTTAGCCAAGCAGCTAACCAAGCAGTGAGTAAATCATCTTAACCATCTAATATAGTCTCCAGAGTGACTACATATCACACAGACTCTCTTTTATGTGTTTATTCAGAGACAATGGGGAAGACAAATGACGAGTCATGCTAAAATCTGAGTTTCCTACATTTTGGATCAGTGCTGCAAACCATATAAATCTGTAATACTTTTCACTTTTCCCATAGGGAAAAAGATTAAACCTGTAATACTTTACATGAGAATGACTAGAAATTGATGACACAATGACTTTGTTTGTTTGAATGGGATTTTGGTTAATGTTCTATAAAGCTTGTTCAACGTAGCAAGTGGGCAAGGCATGGATAAGTCAGCTCTTTGGATCATTTTCAAGGACCAAACATAAAGAAATCACAGTTTTTATCTTTGTTAGAGACTTGATTTGCGTTGATAATTTAGACTGCAGAATGCAGACATTTGATTCAGTACAGTTTCTCACACATACAGGATCCCGGCCAACAGGCCTCAGACACGAGGCAAAAAACATCTCTGTGGAAAAAGTCTTGCTTTTGGTTCCTTATATCAGTCATCTCACTGTTCTGGAGTGCGGCTGAGAGCTTTATGCTAACAGGTGCCAGAAGTGCTGAACTGCACTTATACCAAATGCTTTTCCAAATAAATTTAACTGGATACATGATATACACATTCTCAAACCCTAAAGCTAATTAAGCCAACTTCCACAGTCCTTCTTCCAAAATAAAAGCCCAGCAGTTTTCCCCTATAGCTCCTATGCTAAGCTCTTTCTTGTTTTGGGCCAACAATCCAAACATAATATTCTCTGCTTTGGCAAGTTTTTCATAAAGACCACCCTTTGTTTATTTAATTTCCAGTCAAAATGGCTTTTAAGTACAATTTATTCCTTTTTTGGGAGTTTTAACATAGCGCTATGGGTCTGAAAGGATGTGTAGCTGTCAAGAAGACCTCACTGAGAAAAGGAGACACATCAAACAAAGAAGCTGAACAATGGACTGACCACCCCAGAGTCCAGACCTCAACATCACTGAATGTATTTGGGACTAAATTAAATGCAAAACGCTAAAAATGCAAACAACTTCTAAGACTAAACTTTAGAGGTGTGGCTTCAGATTTCTTAAAAAAAAAACAAATGTGAGTCTGAAAAGAACCGGAGCTGTAAGAAAGCTAAAGAGTGAACACACTGAATGTCTTCTGCTTTTTTTCCTGATGCTGAAAAATGAATAACATGTACTCAATGGCCTTTTTGACTGAGATTACATACAAGAATGGTGGTCTCTGACTTTTGCACAGTGCTGTATTCTGAATGACCACCTGAACATTCCCAAAAAAAGAATCAATTTTTAAAGAAGCGTCGTCATTATGTCAGAGAGCATATGAGTGTGTGTGTGTAAGAGAGTAAAGGAAACTGTAGCTCTGATAAAGTGGTTTAAGTGCTTGCCAAGAGTGTGATAGACTTGTAAGAGACTGTGTGATGTACAATCCTGACCTTCAAGAACTCACTCCCTCTCTACCTCTTTCCATCATCAGACAGCTTTGAAAAGTGCATCTGGCAAAGCTGGAGCTGGGCCTTCTTTGGAAATCAAGACCTAAGACCACCCCCTAAGTCCTAAAGTGGAGGCCCACTCATGGTAGCACAGCACAACCCATAATGATTACTAGTTCTGGATCACAAGCAGCGTTTTTCAAAGGTGTTCAAAGGAAGCTTATCACTCCTACGTAACTCAAAGGTGTTCGACAGAGCTTCCTTACATTATATCAAAGGTGTTCAATAGCTAACTAACTCTAAGTCTAAAGTTCCTCAAAGGACCATCTTCACCCCAGCTGATCCCAAGGGCATTTAACAGATATCCATCCCAACCCATCCCAACATTATTCAGAGTTGAATCACACCAACTTATCCCAAAGGTGTTTAGTGGAGCTTCTTTGCTCCTGCTCATTCCAAAGGTGTTCAAAGGTGCTCCATCATCCCAACTAATCCCAAAGATGTTCATATGAGCTTCATGATCCCTACATATCCCAGAAGTGTTCAATGGAGCTTAATCGTTCCTACTCATCCCAGAGTTGTTCAAGGGAGATTCATCACTCCAACTCATCCCAATGGTGTTCAGTGGAGCTCCTTTACTTCATCCTAGAAGTGTCTGATGTTGCTTCATAAATCCAAAGAACATGTCTCCACAGTCTTATGGTGGGGAGCTTTACAATTCTCTAGCTGCACATAGTGAACTTAGGTTTTTCCAATCATTCCAACTCATCCCAAAGATTTTCATAGGAGTCTCATTACTCCAACTTATCCCAAAGTTGTTCAACTGAGCTTCATCACGCCTACTCATGCCAGAGTTGCTCAGTGGAGCTTCATCACTCCGAATCATCCAAAGGTGTTCATTTGAGTTACTTAACTTCATTCATTCGAGTTACTTAAGCTAATTCAAAAGATGTTCAACTGAGCTTCATCATTCCAACTTGTCCCAAAGCTGTGCAGTGGAGCTCCATTACTTTATTGATGTCTCATGGTGCTTCATGAATCCAAAGAACATGTTTCCACAGTCTAATGGTGGGAAGCTGTACACTTCTATAGCTGCACATGATGAACTTAGGTTTTTCCAACCATTCCAATTTATCACAAAGATATTTCTAGGAGTTTCATTACTCCAACCTATCCCAAAATTGTTCAACTGAGCTTCATCACTCCAACTAATTCCACAATTGTTCAAGGGCGCTTCATCATTCCAACTCATAGCAAAAGTGTTCAGTGGAGCCTCTCCAGTCCTAATCATTCCTAAGAGGTTCAATAAAGCTTTATCACTCCAACTCCTCCCAGAGTTGTTCAATGGACCTTCATCACTCCGAATCATCCAAAGGTGTTCACTGGAGCTTCTTAACTTCAACTCATTCCAAAGATGTTTAACTGAACTGCATCACTCTAAATCATCTCTAAGGTGTTCGACAGAGCTTCATCAATGTAACTCCTCCCAGAGGTGTTCAGTGGAGCTCCATTACTCCAGTTCATCCTGGAAGTGTCTGATGGTGCTTCATAAATGTTTTCTACAGTCTAATGGTGGGGAGCCTTACAACTTGTCTAGCTGCACATGGTGAACTTTTCCAACCATCCCAACTTATCCCAAAGATTTTCATAGGAGTTTTATTACTCCATCTTATCCCAAAGATGTTTAACTAACCTTCATCACTCCTACTCATGCCAGAGTTGTTCAAAGAAGCTTCATCTAACTCATCTCTAAGGGGTTCAGTGGAGCTTCGTCACTCTGACTCATCTCTAAAATGTTCAGTAGAGCTTCATACCTCCAACTCATCCCAGAGTTTTTCAGTCGAGCTTTATCACTCCAACTAATCCCAGAGTTTTTCAATGGAGCTTCATCACTCCAACTTATCTCTAAGATGTTCACTGGAGCTTCATCACTACAACACATCCCAGGGTTTTTCAGTGGAGCTTCATCACCATGACTCTTCCCAAAGGTGTTCAGTGGAGCTTCTTCACTTCTACTCATCCCACAGGTGTTCAATAGAGCTGCACCACTCCAACTCATCCCACAGATGTTCAGTAGAGCTTCATCCCTCTAACTTATCATGTTCAGTGGAGCTTCTTTACACCAATTCATCCTGGAAATGTTTGATGGTGCTTTATAAGTCACATTGCAGCCACAGGTTTGTATGTGGCTGCTCTGGAGCGTTCCACTCTACTGCCAGGTCTCTTTTACATTAAGATTACATGGATGTGTGTGCACAGCTGAACACCTGTGCAAGCAATGAGTGCACAGTAAAGTAGCTGAAATGACTAATCAGAAGGGACATCTGGGTACTTTTGGACATTAGTGTAAGTGTATATGTGAGACCCACCATGTTCATGACGGTCAGCAGAAAGCGTTGGGCAGCCTCCGCTCCATGATACTGCACCATGTCAGAGTCAGCCACCACCACCGTCTCCACTGTGTACTCTCCACTCAGACGGATGGCATTTCTCCTCCCACGAGCTTCCTCTGAGCTTTTAGACCGCCGCTCCTTTCGCTTCCCTAAACACATGCAGACATGCTCAAGATCAGGGTCATGAATTTTACCATCGACAATGGTACGCAAACATGCAATGCATTGAGGTCCCAACATACTAAGCTTTCAGACACAAAATAGATGCATTCTGCTGGCATGGCATTCTGCTGGCATTCTGCTGGCATGTTAGGAAAAAACCTTCTTTACTCTTAATGTAAGTCAATGGAACCACACTTTTTTCCAAGTCATTTCGGGCCATTTCTTTTGGTCCACTCATCATGAAATTTACATACAATGCAAAGGGCAACAGGCATTTTCAATTTATGTCAAAAACTGAAAAAATGGAGATACGAGGGTTTGTCCCGATAGCAGTGATATGCATACGCATTTGGGGGGGATTTATGCAAAACATGGAGGATCAAGCAAATGTAGGTGGAGATACTACAGATGCAGCAGATTACATATTTCATGCAACATATGAATGTTTCAGAACAGAGGTCAGTTTTGCATGGAATTCTCAAACCAATTTTTAAAACTGAATTAATAAGTAATAATATCTCAAAAGCGTGCAATACCAGTGCAAGGGGGTGGTTTTAATGAAGTGGCAGGTCACTGACAAATCTGAGTCCAGACAAATCTCAGTCAACATACTAAATATGTAAGCCTAAAGGGTGTTAGGTAGAGATGGAAGGAGCGAACAGCTATGTATCGGTATCGGCTGATTTTCGGCCCAAATATGCGATCAGCTATTGGCCGACATTTCTCTAACTTGGCCGATCATGAGAAGTGATCAATGACGAAAAACATATGAACCATATTTCCCGAGTTAAGGATTGCCGCAGCCCTACGTGAGGCCCCTTGTTCACAGGACCCTGCAGTCAAACGCTAGATGGAAATACAGACCTTTTGACTTTTGACTACAGGACTAAAGGCCAATTCACAGAGTCTGATTTTTACGGACGAAAAAAACAACGTCAGGTTTTTAATATAAACACACGTATATTAATGCTGTCTTTCACTCTAAGATCGAAACCGATGGACTGTAACGCTGCATAAATCTTTTAAGCAGAGGCTGCTCTATTTTCTGTGTTGTACGAATGCATTAAAATCAAGCTGACCAATCAGAGCTCTGTATTGTGGCTGCAGCCAAAAGAAACGTGGATGGCAGCAGCACAAAAGCTTATACGTCAAGCAATAAGACTGAAAAATGCAGAGGCTGAAGACAATTTATGCCGAACAAGAGCTGAAAGGCTATGAAAGATGATGAGTTTGCTCCTTTTTAATGCGAGGAGCAACAAGCAGAAGCAGAGCCTCGAATTCCTGTAAGAGGTGGTGGAACTTTGTAGAATGGGACTCAGTATATGCACAGTTTAGGTACAGTCCTTAAAAGAAAAATAGTTTTCAGAGTGTTTAGACAGAAAAATGCTGCAGACTTGGTGTGAAGGTCCCACTACTTTAAAATCACATTTATTTATTTTTTTTTAATCCAAAAAAAATCGTACTTGGTGTGAAAAGGCCTTAACAGTCCAGCCTCACCCTTGGTCAGTATTGGCTATCGGGCTAATCATGCTGAAAGGGCCAAATAAAATCATAATAAAATATCTCCTCTTCTACTTACAAACACAAATGGATTTAAAGTCTAGAATTTCAATTTACTTCCAATATAATCTCTCCACTTGTTTCAATCTACAACTGAGAATCAATTCATATAAAATTACAACCTTGCCTTGGTGGTGCCTTGGTTACCACCAGTTATGAGTGCATTTAACTTAAAAGGATTATGATTTTACAGTCCGTATAGGACAAAGATACCCAGATAGACACTCCATATCACAGCACAGATGATGGGCAGATAGCTAGATGCATCTAGCATCTCAGATGTGATGCAGAACTTTTAATGCGTGCTGACAGCAGAATGTTTGGCTGAAGGTTCTAGTCACTGACTCTAGTAAACAAACGGGCAAACTTTGGCTCGTTTTCCCCTCGGCCTGTTTTTAAGCAGTACCAGCCCATTCCGAGGTGCCCCACATGTTCTGGGCAGAACCATATGCCCAATTAGACCTCACCATAGCAAATGTAATAGCTGTGCTGCAAGCAGAGCTAGGAGAACAAAGTCAAAGCGCTGGGGGAGACTAAAGTCTTCCAGACACACAAAGTGTCCTCTGGTTAAAATAAAGGCACATAGCAGAAACATGGAAATGCCCATGTCAAGGAAAAAGCTACCCTTTCCTTGCTTTTTGAAATAAAAAAGCCTGGTTTGAATTTATCATGGTTGTGATGTCACAAGCATTAACAAATTTACATATGACCACCCATTCAGCTTCCCCTTCACATCAGCCTGTTTAATTCTAGATTAGACCCCCGTCTCCCCCATCACCTAGCGCCATGTTAGTCAGCGCAGGCGTCTGTTAGCTGACGTAACAGAACTGGTGGTTAGTGTTCTCCTCCGAGTATGTTCAGTTGTTCAAAGACGATGCGTTAGCGGCAGGTCAAAAAGATGTGGTGGTGCTTCACATGAATTGGAGGGAGCCTGTGCTGGCTTTCACCCACCTAGCACCAGTAGTATCATGTGATTGGGGGAGTCCTAACTAGCGATTAGAACTGGATACGTCTAAATTGGGAAAACAAAGAAAAACATTTATTGCCCAGATTAATGGTTTTAAACAATGTGCTCGGGTGCCTAAGACTTTTACACAGTGCTGTGCAGAATGTATCCAGGCGCCCCTTGTAATAAGTGAATTGTGGTACTTTAAGGTGCACCTATTACTGACACAGGCTTAAACTTTGAATAATCTCCACAGAAAAGCATTGTCAGTAGAATCAGATGCTCTGGAGCGGCTGCAAATAACCATGGCACCGTGCCCAATGCCAAGCTTTGGCTAGAGGGGTAAAAAGCCCCCCTGAGAAAAATGAAGCAGGATAATTGGGGGAACTGTGGAGTAAGGGAACTCCGGCCAGTACCTTTGGGATGAGTGGGAGTGATCCAGAACTGACCATCCAACATCAGTACCTGACCTCACTAATGTTCTGGTATTCCAACATCTAGTGTAAAGTCTTCCCAGAAGAGTAGAGGCTGTTACTGCAGCAAAGCGGGACCAACTCACTATTTATAACCTTCATTTCAGAAGAGCAGGTGTTATTGATGTGATGAATATTGTGACGGAATTAAATAAGTAAATGACTCACCCTCTGCAACCCCACTAACAGCATCGTGTTCCAGCCAAAGTCTTTGACAAGTCTGAGCCATCTGCAGTCTGACTGTTGTTTGGGTTTGTTTGTTTCTCCGCATGCATAAACACTGCAGTGAAAGCTGCCTTTGTACATGCAGCGACCCCGAATCACTGGATGGCGGCGATGAATGACAGAGTTGATTTCCAAGCGCATATCAAAGCACGACAGACGTCACATAGCCATAGGCCCAAACTCACGGAATCAAAAACACTGGCTGTGTTCTTCTCGTAAGGAAAGGCAAAGTGGTTTTGAACAGTAAATGTGCTACAGAACCTACAGACATCCTACAGGATGTTCACTGCAAGGCGAAGATGAACTCTTTTGTGGCGCTGAATAGGCATATCTGCTAGAAAGATCTATGGAGCCACTTGAAGTAATAAAACTAGCTGCAGTGACAGTGACATGACAAGATAATGGGGACGGGATGATCCCCCCGGGGCGGCTGTAAAAGTAATCTGTCACAGATTGACACAAACGGTCATGTAACAGTCCGTGCGTCATTTAAACTCTCTTAGCAGATCTGAAGGATGACAAAATTAACCTGTGCTGAAATGACGAACATCCACCCTGTCAGTCTCAGTGAGCTTGAGCAAAGACTTCTGTAAAGCTCCTTAAACAGTGAAGAGGGGCTGCTAATAGTAACAATGAGAGGGAACTTGATTGATTTTTACAACATTTCTGCATAATTCAATGGTTAAGATGTAAAAAAAGTCATTCAGAGTGGTTTGGTGTTAAATGCTCCATTCTAGAGACACTTGCTGAGTCAGAATTGTTCATAGTGGTGGTGATAGGAACCAGATGCCTGAAGAGTTTAGGGCCTCTAAAAGCTCCCTCACAGAAAGGTTTTGGCCTCCAACTAAATCCATTGTAAATCCATGGTGAGGGGGTACATGCAGGTCATTGTGAGACCAAATAGTCCCTAAAGAAAATGTATTTTTTATATTGTCCACTATTTTACCACCATCAACATTACATATCAACACTCACAAAGTGTAGGGTCTCTGGTGGTTTTGGATAGTAAATAAAATGGCTATATTTGTGTTGTAGACATTGCGACTTCTGGTTCCTGGCCTACAGAATTGGTCCAAACCTGAATAAAGCATGCCGCAGTCCAGCCTGACCCACATCTCAAATTGTCCCCACCTAAACCAAACCTGATTCAACCAAGCAATGGCCAAATAAAGCTCCATATTTATAATGACAGTCCATGTCAAGTTGTCTCAGCAACAATGTTGGCCAGCAATGAGATCGGTCACCCTTATAAAAATAGCTATTACAATTATTATCTTAATTATTAGTCATCCAGATTTTTCCAAATCAGTGTCATTGAACAACGTTACAAGCATTTTTAGCAGTAATGACCCCAAATGAAAATTCTTGACTGAAACCAAAACCAAAATTCAGGATGCACTGAGTCAAAAACCAAAAAATAAGCGCTGAAACAAAGCTATCAAAGCTATGGTGGAGAGGTACTTGCAGGGTGTCGTAAGGCAAAATGGTTCTCAAAGAAAACGTATTTTTCATATTTAATCACTGTTTTACCATCATCAACATTAAATATAAAAACTCAGAAGACTTGTCTGGTGGTTTCGGACAGTAAATAAAATGGCTATGTTTGTGTTGTAGTCATGGTGACCCCTGGTTCCTATCAGCACCACTGTAAAGAAATCAGAGTCTCAAAGTTGCGCAAAATGATTAGAATGTTGTTCGATGGCACGGATTTGAAAAATTCTGGATATCTGAAAATTAAGCTAATAAATGTATAATAATTTCAGTTTTAAATTTTATGACAACT